TGGTATTAACCCTTCACATGATCTCGATTCTGTCCCTCTGTTTATGCAGCCTAGAACTGTGTTGGCTTTTTTGGCAGCTGCTGCACACAGATGGCTCATATTTAAATGGTTGTCCACTAGGACTCCAAGATCCCTCTCACAGTTACTACTATTGAGCAAGGTACCACATATACTGTATAAATTTCATAGAGATGAAAAAGCTTAAACATTCAAGAATCTGTTTAAAAACAACTGTGAGATAGATCTCTTTGCTTGCTTTATGAATGAGTATGTCCTTCACTAAGTATTCCTTGATGAAGGAATTTGGTTCTTGATTAGAAATGCATTATCCATTTACCGTATTTTTCGGAATATAAGATGCACCTACCTTTTTTGGTAAGGAAAAGAAGAAAAAGAAATCTGCCTCTGCCTCTGAGCAATTTTGCCTCGTTGCAGCAAACAGCAAACAGCCTGCTTTACTTTCATTTTCGTTTTCAGCATAGCTTGATTAGCACAAGAAAAAAAAAATCTGCTCCAGCAATTTACCTCCTTGCAGCAAGCAGCAAAGCCCTGCGCAAAACAGCTGAGAGCAAAACAGCTGAAAGTCGGGAGGCCATCCAATCAACTTGTGCTAATTAGGCTGTGCTGAAGCTGAAAGGAGCTGTTTTTTTCTTGCCGTTTGCTTGCAAGGAGGTAACTGCTGCAAGGCAGAGGCCAAAGGGTGGGGGCCAGTGGGTGGGCGGGACTATATTCGGTGTATAAGATGCACCTAAATTTCCACCCCCTTTTAGGGGGTAAAAAGGTGCGTCTTATACTCGGAAAAATATGGTATTTACGTAGAATAATCAAGGAATCTAAAAACTGAATACAACACACACACAGAGGCATACCAACACACACAATGATATATTTTTGCCATTCTACAGCAAGCAAACAGGAATAATTTTTAAAAGCAGACGGGGCAGTGACTGACAGCTGAACTAAATGAGAGGTAGCATGATGATATTATACATGTTAGAGCTGAGAATTGGATTTATTTATGTAAACATTTATATAACTGCCTGTCTTATAATCAGCTCTGGCCAACTCCCAATCAAAAGTTAAAACAGCATAAAAGCTAAACTGAAAGTATAAAAATTAATACATTAAAATACCGGTAGTCCTTCACTTACGACGACAATTAAGGCCAGAATTTCTGTTGCTAAATGAGAAATTTGTTAAGTGAGCTTTACCCCCTTTTACGACCTTTCTTGCCACCGTTGTTAAGTGAATCACTGACTTTGTTTTGGTTAGTAACCGGGTTGTTAAGTGAGTCTGGCTTCCCCATTAACTTTTGCTTGTCAGAAGGTAAGAAAACGGGATCACGTCACACACACACACCGGGACAGTGCAACCGTCATAAAAGTGAGTCAGTTGGCAAGCATCCAAATGTAAATCACGTGACCATGGGAATGCTGTCTGAATAATGATCACAAGTTCGCTTTTTTCCAGAGCTGTTGTAAATTTTGAAGAGTCGCTAAGTGAACCGTTGTAAATTGAGGACTACCTGTAATTTGAAGAGTTTGCATTGCTTTAAGTAGTGTATTTCTCTGGTTTCGACCTTAAAAAAATGGGTCAGAATGTTATGTAATTGCGATAATGTGGACTGATATAGCTACGGCCAATGACTATCATTGATTTGATTTGACAAAAAGCCCCTGTAGACAATCTTAAGACATCTTAGGTTTCAGCAGAACTAGGATATAAAAATAATATTAATCCATTAAATAAGGTCCTAAGGACTCAGCTACATGATTTATGCTAGACAACCTGTGATCTGTTGGGACATCCTTTCCAGAGACATTCCTAATCAGATTCCTTAATGCCTTCAACAGTGACAGAGCTTCTAACGTCCTGCCTTTACTGGAAAAGTTGGGAAATATTCAGAGATGTATCTGCCGTGAAAATAGAACTGACATAGAACTGTGTCGCGCAGTCAAATAAAAGCACAGGAAATGTTTTTAGGGCATTCTGTAGAATGCCATAAACTGTTTTATGATAGCAATAGCAGTAGACTTTAGACTTATATGCCGCTTCACAGTGCTCCTTCACAGCCCTCTCTAAGCGGTTTACAGAGTCAGCCTGTAGCCCCCAACAATCTGGGTCCTCACTTGGACGGATGGAAGGCTGAGTCAATTTTGAGCTGGTCAGGATCGAACTGCTGACAGTGGGCAGAGTCAGCTTGTAATATTGCGTTTTAATCTCTGTGCCATCAGGAAGAAGAATGAGAAAGGGAATAAGAGAGGAAGGAAGGAAGGAAGGAAGGAAGGAAGGAAGGAAGGAAGGAAGGAAGGAAGGAAGGAAAGAAGGAGGAAGGAAGGAAGGAAGGAAAGAAAGAAGGAGGAAGGAAGGGAGGAATAGCAATAGCACTTAGACTTATATACCGCTTCACAGTGCTTTTACAGCCCTCTCTAAGCGGTTTACAGAGTGAGCCTATTGCCTCCAACAATCTGGATCCTCATTTTACCGACCTCGGAAGAATAGAAGGCTGAGTCCATCTTGAGCCGGTCAGAATCGCACTGCTGGCAGTGAGCAAGAGTCAGCCTGCAATACCGCATTCTAACCACTGCGCCACCCGTCTCGTAGTATTTATGATCATTTTTATGTCGTAAAACGTTTTATAAAATTTGCCAAATTTCAATTCCACACGCATCACAGACCCTGGATTTTGAATGCATTCTGTAAGTTAACCCAATTGCAGGCATTTAATTAGAACTTTTTTTTTTTTTTTAAAGATGTGTTTAAAACCACAGGCAGATTATTTTCAACTCATTCTGCAATCATGGCAAAATTTAATATCCCTAATTCATCTACAAAAAAATTAGCCATGAATTTTTGAACTTGGAATTTCCAAGGAGAATCTGTTTTGTAACTGAATGTTGCTTGGAACCAAGCGATCCAACCTTAAAAACATTTTCAAATCCATTAATTAATTCCAACAAAAGAAACTAAATGAGAATTTCAGCATCATTTTGACGAAAGAACTTACAGAATTGCTAATTATGTTCGGGTGAATCGCTTAGGTCCTGCTAGACCGAGCGGATAACGAAAACAGAGAATTGTTCATTAATCAGGTTTCAAAAGGTGAAACGCATCAGTCTGGTTTAATTTGCATGAATCAATTATCATAACTGAAAGAAAACCAACGCAAGTTAATTATTCTTTCATTTAGATCGGTTCAGGAGAAACTTCCAAAATGTTACAAGCAGGGAAACTATGTCAATGCACACCCAAGATAAATCGCATTCACATCTCATCGCCGTGTTAAATTTACCCCCCTCATTACATACAGGTCACCGAAGACAATTGTCGTACATGTTTGAACCCTGGGGAAAATTCTAATGAAAAACACAAGGGAGAGAATCATTTGCAGAAATCAATTAGCCTACTCCGCTACTCATTACTTACACGTGCCTTTATGATCCTCCGCTTAAAAAAAGATTTGCAGCCTTTTCCTCGAAATACATTACACAAATATGAACCCACAAAATTTATACCGTTAAGTATGAAAATTGTTCGGTGGATTTTGCTCCATTTTACGACCTCTCGTCGTCAAGTCAATAATCACAGCCGTTTAATTAATAACGTGGCTGTTGAGTGAATCTGGCTTCCCCTATTGACTTCGTTTGTCAGAAGGTCGCAAATAAGAATCGCATGACCCCGGAACCGTCATAAATATGAGTCAGTTGCCACGCGTCTGAATCACGTGGCCATGGGGATACTGCAACGGTCATAAGCGTGAAAAATGGCCGTAAACCATTTTTTTCCCAAAAAATTATTTTTCCACATAAACATACATATTTTGTGGACAGTGTATTGACTGGGTCAAGTCTTTTTAAAACAATGTTAACAATAATAATACAAATTAGTATGTGCAGTCCTAAACTTCCAACTTCAATAATAGTATTTTCTTTTCATAATCCTTTATCATTTTCCTATTAATTCATTTAAACATAAATAACATTTTTTGCGCCATTTATTTGCTATCCCCAACTGAATACTATTATTTAATATTTTAAGAATTACTCATTATTTCACCATAACTTCAATATTCCAAATGTGTAGGATTACTAACAATGCCAGATATTAACAATATTTAATCAATCCCGGGAATGTATCTCAAGATCCCCACAATTTCCAAACCTTAATATTTAAAATTCACAATATACTTTAACACACTGTAAATGTTAATAATACAATTAAATTTCTTAATCCTAAATTTCCATCTACTAGTCTTAACTTGTTACATATATAATATAATAATAATAATAATAATAATAATAATAATAATAATAATAATAATAATATATAATAATATATAATAATATATAATATAATAAATATATATATATGCACATATACATACTATTTTAAAAGGGACGTGGTGGCTCAGTGGCTAAGATGCTGAGCTTGTCGATCAAAAGGTCAGCAGTTCAGCGGTTCGAAACCCTAGTGTATGTAACGGAGTGAGCTCCCGTTACTTGTCCCAGCTTCTGCCAACCTAGCAATTCGAAAGCACGTCAAAAATGCAAGTAGAAAAATAGGGACCACCTTTGGTGGGAAGGTAGCAGCGTTCCGTGCGCCTTTGGCGTTGAGTCATGCCATCCACATGACCACAGAGACGTCTTCGGACAGCGCTGGATCTTCGGCTTTGAAACGGAGATGAGCACCGTCCCCCTAGAGTTGGGAACGACTAGCACATATGTGCGAGGGGAACCTTTACCTTTACTTACTACTGTTTTCCCTATTAGTATTTTTCCATTTTATTAAACTATTTTTTTTCCAGTGCCATTGTAACTGTGAACACTTATGAAATGAATTATTATAAGTCAAGGGCAAACTGTAATCACTTGCTTGTCCAATTTTTATGCAAGTCATGAGCTACACAACATATACCCATTGGAAACATTTAAAGAATTGTAATCTTTACTATGAAAACAAAAAGTTTAGCCAGAGCAGAAGATTTAAAAAAAGGGACTCACCAGAGTGTCCAGTCATGGCCACAGTATGGTTGAACATTCCCCAAGTAGAATCCAAGGGACTGAGTAACTTCCAACAAGTTGGTGAAATCCAGGCTAATGCTATTGAAAAGCACGGAGGTCATAATGATTTCATCAATGGCCCAAACATCTTCGCCTTGAGAAGAATGGTACGGTTGCCACCATCGGAACTGAATGCCAAACTGTCTCGCATCTTCTGGCAATTCCACCGAAATTATTCTTTTAAAAAAAAGAAAGAAATGGATTTATGGAAATGGCCTAAGTTACAGAAATCACTAAGATGATTCTAACTGTTCGTACTGTACGCCAGTGATGGCTAACCTTTTTGCCGTTGCGTGCCAAAAGCGGTGGGAACGCGGTGGGGGGTCACATGCATGCGTGCCCACATCCATAATTCTATGCCCCCCCTGTGCTCCCCCCACTTTTGGCACGTGATGGCACGGTGGGCCCGATAGGCCTGTTTTTTGCTCTCCCCAGGCTCCAGAGCCTTTCTAGGAGCCTGGGGAGGGCAGAAACGGCCTTCCCCACCTCCCCAGAAGCCCTCCAGAGGCCGGAAACAGTGTGTTTCCTGACTTCTGGTGGGCCCAGAAGGCCTGAAAATCAGCTGGCTGGCGCATGCATGTGTGTCAGAGCTGAGCTCGCGTGCCCAATATGGCTCCGTGCGCCACCTGTGGCACCCGTGCCATAAATTCGCCATCACGGCTATAGGCAGTCCTCGACTTATTATCACAATTCAGTGGTGGGCTGCAACTGGTTTAACACACGGTTTTGTTTCCCTTCTACAACTGCAATGATTGGTTTTATCCACTAGATGGTAGCAAAGAGATCCAAGAAAATCTGAACCCATTTCTGCCATCTCCTGGTTAGATTTTGTTTCAGCCCAGATACCACAACCTTAACTTTAAGGGGTTAGGATTAGGGTTAGGGTCTCAAGAGAGAGGAAAATGGGGATAAATTGAATTGTTAAGTGTCTCAGACTGTATTTCTAACCAGGTTAATATTCCTACATAAAGAGTGTTAAAGAACAGATAAAGAATGGTGGCTGGAATTGAGTATGTCTAATTTAATGAAAAGAAGGACTAGGAGTGATATGATAGTACTGTTCCAATTTTTGAGAGGCTGCCACAAAGAAGAGGGGATCAATTTGTTTTCCAAAAGCGCCAGAAGGCAAGACGAGAAGCAATGGATGGAAACTAATTAAGGAGAAAGAACTAAGGAGAAATTTCCTGACAGTTAGAACGATTAATCAGTGGAACTACTTACCTCCAGAAGTTGTGGATGTTCCAACATTAGTAGTTTTAAAGAAGAGATTGGACAAACATTTGTCTGAAATGGTATACAGTTTCCTGCCTTAGCAGGGGGTTGGACTAGAAGACCTCCAAGGTCCCTCCCAACCCTATTATTGTGTTATCTTCCCTATTCAACATTGCATTACATTTTTAACTCATTTATTGAATCTTGCTTGCAGTTTTTGGGAAGATTTATTTTGCAATAAAAACCTCAGTCTGACATCAGGGCTAAAGACAATATTTGTTAAGATTTTCAGCAGCTTTTTAGCAGTCCCCAAAATGAATAATACATAATCTGTACATGCTCTTGCATTTCTGCCCCTGGAACTATTTCTTTCCCTCTACATTTAAATTACTCCTGGAAGAATAGAATAGAATAGAATAGAATAGAATAGAATAGAATAGAATAGAATAGAATAGAATAGAATAGAATAGAATTCTTTATTGGCCACGTGTGATTGGACACACAAGGAATTTGTCTTTGGTGCATACGCTCTCAGTGTACATAAAAAGAAAAGATACATTCGTCAAGAATCATAAAGTACAACACTTAATGATAGTCATAGGGTACAAATAAGCAATCAAATCATACTAGGAAACAATCAATATAAATTGTAGGGATACGAGCAACAAAATACAGTCATGCAGTCATAAGTGGGAGGAGATGGGTGATAGGAACGATGAGAAGATTAATAGTAATAGTAATGCAGCCTTAGTGAATAGTTTGAGAGTGTTGAGGGAATTATTTATTTAGCAGAGTGATGGCATTCGGGAAAAAACTGTTCTTGTGTCCAGTTGTTCTGGGCTGCAGTGTTCTATAGCGTCGTTTTGAGGGTAGGAGTTGAAACAATTTATGTCCAGGATGACAGGGGTCTGTAACAGTGGTGAAATCCAAATTTTTTTACTACTGGTTCTGTGGGCGTGGCTTGGTGGGCATGGCAGGGGAAAGGATACTGCAAAATCCCCATTCCCTTCCCACTCCAGCAGAAGGATATTGCAAAATCTTCATTCCCACCCCACTCTGGGAACAGCCAGAGGTGGTATTTGCCGGTTCTCCAAACTACTCAAAATTTCCGCTACTGGTTCTCCAGAACCTGTCAGAACCTGCTGGATTTCACCTCTGGTCTGTAAATATATTCACAGCCCTCTTTTTGACTCGTGCAGTATACAGGTCCTCAATGGAAGGCAGGTTGGTAGCCATTGTCTCCTCTGCAGTTCTAATTATCCTCTGAAGTCGATGTCTGTCTTGTTGGGTTGCAGAGCCAAACCAGACAGTTATGGAGGTGCAGATGACAATAATTCCTCTGTAGAACAGGGCTGGATATCTTGATGAGCAGATTCTCTTACCCTTTTGTCAGTGTCTGCTAGGGATTTTTGACAACGTCAAGCCGTTGCCCGCACTGAAGACAGACTCAGCTGTCAATCAAGTCGGATTTTATAAACGGAACTAAAGCAAGCACCATCTTGTTCTTATTCAGGGGCAAAAACCGTCTTGGCGGGAGACGCCGTTTGGCTTTTTTCTCTGCGCGTGTCAGTTTTGTGCCAAAGAGTGCTGGCAGAGAGCACAAAGCACATATTTCATTCCTTGATGAAGCAATTTTCTTTTATGTGTATTTCACCGTAGCAGGAAGTTCCATTCTCAATCTGGCGGGGAGCGGAGAATGGTACCCAACAAGAATCTCCAAGCATAAACATTAATTCTAGCGAGGAAGGGACAGTCAACAGTGTCCTGCTGCACGGTTCGTGAGCCAAGCCCCACGAGGAGCCCTCAAGAAACCCTCCTGGCAGCTGTGACAACAAAACCTACATTTGATGAAGTGTGAAGAAAATTAAGAATAATATTGAATTTCCAGGCGCAATTACGGGACACAGCCATGGGGTTCATACATTAATTGCCATGGCAATGACATCTTTGATAATGTTCCATAAATCAATAACAGCAGATGCCCACATGAAACACGCAAAGGCAAAAGCTGAGGCATAACAACACTGAGGGATGTTTATCCCCATCATCAACGCACAATAAAATATTGGCAAAGGAACTTTCAATATCCTTCCAACCTTGTCTTTTTTTCCCTTTCAAATAAAACTCTGTAAATCAAGTAGGAAGGGGACTAGTAAAAAGAAATTCATACATTAACTCCGACATCTTCCCCTTGTTGGGTCTGACAATAACCACAGTACGTTGTTGTTGTTATTCTTTTAGTCTGTGCTGCCACAACCTTGTATCTTCGCTTGTGAAGAAGAACACACAAACACACAGTTAAAAAGCGCTTTTTATGCTGTCTTTGTGAACTTCGATGAGTGCGCAACTTGTGACATCCTGTTTATTACTGAGGGAGGATGTGTTAATTGATTAGCGAGAGGATCAAGTGGTGAAACTGAACAAGTAATTTTGAGAGACAGGGTGTAGAAGGGAAAAAAAATATTTCAGGCAATTAAAAGAATAGAAATAGTATAACAGGGTTGGAAGGGACCTTGGAGGTCTTCTAGTCCAACCCCCTGCTTAGGCAGGAAACACTATACTACTTCAGACAAATGGTTATCCAATCTCTTCTTAAAAACTTCCAGTGTTGGAGCATTCACAACTTCTGGAAGCAAGTCGTTCCACTGATTAATTGTTCTGTCAGGAAATTCCTCCTTAGTTCTAAGTTGTTTCTCTCCATTATTAGTTTCCACCCATTGCTTCTTGTCCTGCCCTCAGGAGCTTTGGAGAATAGCTTGGCTCCCTCTTCTTTGTGGCAGCCCCTGAGATATTGGAACACTGCTATCATGTCTCCCCTGGTTCTTCTTTTCATTAAACTAGACATACCCAGTTCCTGCAACTGTTCTTCATATGTTTTAGCCTCCAGTCCCCTAATCATCTTTGTTGCTCTTCTCTGCACTCTTTCTAGAGTCTCAACATCTTTTTTACATCGTGTTAGATTGTGTTAGACTGGAGATGCCTAGTTCCCTCAATCGTTCATCAGTGGGTTTACTCTACCATTTTCTTCTTTATCTATCTTCAAAACTAGCAGAAAAGGTTGCCGTGAGTCTTAGCAATCACAGTGAAACAGGGCTCTAATGGTCTCCAGAAGGAGACCTCAAGAGACCTGTAGAATCTCTAAGACTGGATGCTCACTTGGACAGAATTTTGGGACTGAGAAGATGCAGCTATTCTAGTAATAGAATTACTCGAATAGATTAAAAGAGGGATGCGGTGGCTCAGTGGCTAAGGAGCTGAGCTTGTCGATCGAAAGGTCAGCAGTTCAGCGGTTCGAATCCCTAGCACCATGTAATGGGGTGAGCTCCCGTTACTTGTCTCAGCTTCTGCCAACCTGGCAGTTCGAAAGCATGTAAAAAAATGCAAGTAGAAAAATAGGGACCACCTTTGGTGGGAAGGGAACAGCGTTCCATGCGCCTTTGGCGTTGAGTCATGCCGGCCACATGACCACGGAGACGTCTTCGGACAGCGCTGGCTCTTCGGCTTTGAAACGGAGATGAGCACCACCCCCTAGAGTCGGGAACGACTAGCATATATGTGCGAGGGGAACCCTTTACCTTTATTCTAATAAACTGAACCTGGATCTTCTCAATTCTTCATGCGATCACCCCACAACATTCCTCACAACATCGCTTCTTGAAAGGATTGTTATTGGGATTTAAAAAACAAGAAGAACTTCTGCAGAGCCTCAAATTTCTTCGTACAAAGGCAGGATAGAAAGCAGATACATCAAGGCTACAATGGGTTGTAAAAAGGATTATAGCAATTTGACCAGGGGTGAAATCTACTTACCCTCCTTACTGGTTTGGAAGTGCACACACCCCACGCGCTGAACCTCTGCGCATGCGCAAACCATTCTGCACATGCACAGAGGGTAAAAAACAGGTTGCTTCCTGGTTAAAACCAGGAAGTAACGACCGACCGGGCGAATGGGTGGAGCCTCAAGCTGCCATCATTACTGGTTCTCCAAACTGGGCCAAACGGGAGCATTTCACTCCTGAATTTGACCATAGGCACAGAGGCTATTGAACTGCTGCCTAATAGGATACTTTTGCATTGTGCCCTATTAAAGCAATGCATTTTGGCTGTCGGCCCCTAGGGGGAGAGCCTTCTCTGTGGGGGTACCGACGATCTGGAATGAGCTCCCCCCAGAGATACGGAGGATTCCGGACCTGCGCACCTTCCGCCGCGAGCTGAAGACATTGTTATTTCATCAAACTGACCTCGCCTAAATCTTCTCCCTTTTAAGTGTAAATTTTAAATTTTTAATGTATTTTAAAATATGGGAATTTTAAATTATGGGTATTAATTCAGCCAAATTTATTTAATTCATTTTATTCGATTTTAAATTTTGTATATCTATGTGTTTTATTTCATGGCTGTGCACCGCCCTGAGTTCTTCGGGAGTAGGGCGGTATAGAAATTCAATAAAATCTAAATCTAAATCAATAAATTTACCTTGGCTCGTGATAGTTGAGATACGGGTAATGTTCCAGAAGCTTCCACGTAATCCCATTGTCGTACGAGTAGTGCAGTAAAACACCTTCGCCAGGCTGATCCGGGGCTTTGCAAGTACTCAGAACAGATCTGCTACCGAGTCTCAGAGTGAACTGGAGGAATCTGGTTTGACAAAGAGTTCGAATCATTATAAATTACCATCTCCGCAGGATTCTCTTCCCAGACCTGCCATTTTATTTCATTTTAATCCTTGTACATTAAAGCGAAGCTAACATCAACAATACTGATGGCTCCTTGCCGGTGTTGAAATTGTTTATTCAGTCCAGCCAGGTAGTACGGCGTGGATTGTTTTTAAATGCCAATCACTATTGCATTCCATTATTTATTAGGAACCGGAGGGGTGGAGGAACGATTGAATGGATCTAATCAGCTGCCACAAGCTGTCAAAATAAATACAAGCCCGTAAATAATTAACCAGCACTTGGCTCTGACACTCACTTTTTGATATTAATGTTGCATGTTTGCAAACTCAGGCACTGTATAATTACCCCCCAATGTATTAAACACTTAGCCCTGCAAATAAAGTTTTTTTTTTTAATAAAAAGCATTCTCGTATCCAGAATTAAATGTAAAAATATACGAAGCCGTCAAAAATTCAAGCGCTGGATTTTTATTTATTTTTTTCTCGGTCAAGCAGAAGCTCCTCTTTTTAATTGAAAATATAAGAGATCCATCCCAGAGATTCATGATCCAGAAGCGAATTCAAAGGAGCCTGCATTGTTTTCGTTTATCCCCGTTTACCTTGATTGGGAGCTGTCGAAGAAAGACGTGACGAGTTGACGTCTCCCATCCTTGTTAAAAACCAGGGCTTTGCCGCTCGCTAGGACTCCGCAGCCGAAACTGACTTCAGCACCACGGATAGAGTAAAAGTTGTGATAGGAAGAGAGCCTGGAATTGCTGAAGGTTTCTGAGATGAACATCGGAAAGGTTTGAGAAGCCATTTCGCACGCCGGGCCTGAAAAACCAGGGTCACACCTGTGACAGAAAGAAGCAAAATATCAGCTAAATAGGATCGACCTTTGAGAGAAATAAGTTGTGAATGTTGTACGAGATCTTTAAGAAATACAAGCCACAAGGTCACAAAAAGCTAATACCCATGTATCCCCCTCTCCTCATTTGTTTCGATTTTAATTTTAATTAATTTATTTATTTGTATTCCACCTTATTTTTGCAAACAACTCAAGGTGGCAAATATATCCAGAACACCTTTCTCCTCCTATTTTTCCCCACAAAAACAACAACACGCCTGTGAGATGGATTGGGCTGAGAGAGAAGGATTGGTCCAAAGTCTCGCAGCTGGCTTTCATGGCTAAAGCAGGACTAGAACTCACAGTCTCCTGGTGATTGGTCCAAAGTCACCCAGCCATCTTTCATGGCTAAGGTGGGACTAGAACTCACAGTCTCCTGGTGATTGGTCCAAAGTCACCCCGCTGACTTTCATGGCTAAAGCAGGACTAGAACTCACAGTCTCCTGGTGATTGGTCCAAAGTCACCCAGCCATCTTTCATGGCTAAGGTGGGACTAGAACTCACAGTCTCCTGGTGATTGGTCCAAAGTCACCCTGCTGACTTTCATGGCTAAAGCAGGACTAGAACTCACAGTCTCCTGGTGATTGGTCCAAAGTCACCCAGCCATCTTTCATGGCTAAGGTGGGACTAGAACTCACAGTCTCCTGGTGATTGGTCCAAAGTCACCCTGCTGACTTTCATGGCTAAAGCAGGACTAGAACTCACAGTCTCCTGGTGATTGGTCCAAAGACACCCAGCCAGCTTTCATGGCTAAGGTGGGACTAGAACTCACAGTCTCCTGGTGATTGGTCCAAAGTCACCCAGCTGTCTTTCATGGCTAAGGCGGGACTAGAACTCACAGTCTCCTGGTGATTGGTCCAAAGTCACCCAGCTGTCTTTCATGGCTAAGGCGGGACTAGAACTCACAGTCTCCTGGTGATTGGTCCAAAGTCACCCAGCTGGCTTTCATGGCTAAGGCAGGACTTGAACTCATGGCCTCCCACTTTCTAGCCAAGTGCCTTAACCACTAGACCAAACTGGCTTTTTTCTTTCCAAAGTTATCAAAAAAATGAAATTGAACAGTCCATGACTAACTGAAAGTATAGGATTTTGCTATTATTATTGTTGTTGTGGCCACTCACACAGACAGCCAGATCTTTAGACTGGATTTAGCATTTTTTTATCCAGCTATCAAATCCTTCTCAAGCCCCTGGGATAGATAAGACGTGGTTTTTTAATAACATTAAAGGTATATTGTTGCAGCCTGTAAGATGTTCCAGATAAAGCTGCCTTTTGCAATTGACTGATGGGGGATTTTGTCAATGACAATGATGCTCAAGCGGCGTTCCAGATTTCTTGCAATTGCACCCAAGGCACTTATTATAATTAGTGCTGATTTTGCTTCCACAGTGGTTCCACTTCTATTTGCAAGTGCACAAAATCCCCTCCTTTAGCGATCACAGACAATATCTTCTCTGAGAGATTTTCTTATGATTTCATGGGAAGGCATTTCCACAATGCAGTTGAAAAAATAAATAGAATAGAATAGAATAACAGAGTCGGAAGGGACCTTGGAGGTCTTCTAGTCCAACCCCCTGCTTAGGCAGGAAACCCTACACCACTTCAGACAAATGGTTATCCAACCTCTTCTTAAAAACTTCCAGTGTTGGAGCATTCCCAACTTCTGGAGGCAAGTTGTTCCACTGATTAATTGTTCTCACTGTCAGGGAATTCCTCCTTAGTTCTAAGTTGCTCTTCTCCTTGATTAGTTTCCACCCGTTGCTTCTTGTTCTACCCTTGGGTGCTTTGGAGAATAGCTTGACTCCCTCTTCTTTGTGGCAGCCCCAGAGATACTGGGACACTTCTATCGTGTCTCCCCTAGTCCTTCTTTTCATCAAACTAGACATACCCAATTCCAGCAACCCTTCTTCCTATGTTTTAGCCTCTGGTTCCCAAAGACTTCCAAATAAAATAAAGGCTTACAAATATGTTTCAAATTAGAACGGTCAAAACCTAAAAGGGCTACCCACCTTTACGATTTAGAAAAAAGTAGAAAGATAATCATTCAAATGACAGAGAATTAATTAGAACCCAAAATAAGTTTCCCCCCCACCCACCTCTAGTTCCAGTTAAGGCTGTTGTATTAATGTCATGACAGTCCACGCATTCAACCTCCTGTAGAGATATAGTACGTCTGATCTAAGCAAAGCAGGAATCTGTCATTTGGGGGGGGCGGGAGATTCTGATTGTGCTATCAGGAGAAGCTGTAATACCACAAGACAGGTTGTCCTACAACCGAGAAAACAACTTTACAGAAACGCAAAGATGCCGGCCAAAGCGTTGTGATCAGACTTACTTGCAACCGGTTCTCGTGCATTGACCTCGCCCTGAGCAGAATTTGAGACAAGACGGACCAATGTAAACTGCAGGAAAGGAAAAAAATAAATAAATGTGCTGAAATTAAATTCCAGAACTTTGGACATATTTAAGTGGTGGGCATACAAAGTTCATTACACTGTATCTAACAAGACTAAGTATACACAGGTTGTCCTCGACTTAGGACTGTAATTGAGCCTGGAATTATGGTTGTAACTTGTGCTGGTCATTACCATGTGATTGCACTTGATTTTACAGAATGGAATGGAATGGAACGGAACGGAACGGAACGGAACAGAACAGAACAGAACAGAACAGAACAGAACAGAATAGATGGAATGGAACGGAGCGGAATGGAATGGAATGGAATAGAATAGAATATATGGAATGGAATGGAATGGAATGGAATGGAAAGGAACGGAACGGAATAGAATAGAACATATGGAATGGAATGGAATGGAATGGAGTGGAGTGGAGTGGAGTGGATAGAGTAGAGTAGAGTAGAGTAGAGTAGAGTAGAGTAGAGTAGAATAGAGTAGAGTAGAGTAGAGTAGAGTAGAGTAGAGTAGAGTAGAGTAGAGTAGAGTAGAATAGAATATATGGAATGGAATGGAATGGAATGGAATGGAATGGAATGGAGTAGAGTAGAGTAGAGTAGAGTAGAGTAGAGTAGAGTAGAGTAGAGTAGAGTAGAGTAGAGTAGAGTAGAGTAGAGTAGAATAGAATAGAATAGAATAGAATAGAATATATGGAATGGAACGGAACGGAACGGAACGGAACGGAACAGAACAGAACAGAATAAAATAGAATATATGGAATGGAATGGAATGGAATGGAATGGAATGGAGTAGAGTAGAGTAGAGTAGAGTTAGAGTAGAGTAGAGTAGAGTAGAGTAGAGTAGAGTAGAGTAGAATATATGGAATGGAATGGAATGGAATAGAATAGAATAGTTGGAAGGGACCTTGTAGATCATCTTGTACAACCCCCCACCCCCACCCAAGCAGGAGACCCTACACCATTTCTGACAGATGACTCTGGAAAGCTTCCAGTGATGAAGCTCCCACAACTTTTTATGACTTTTTTTTTTACAGTGGTTGCTAATTCATTGTCCACAATGCCTTTGTGTGTGTGTGTGTGTGTGTGTGTGTGTGTGTGTGTGTGTGTGCCAGAAATCAGAAGTAAATAGCAGTTTTCAGGGGAGGAAAAACTCAATATTTGAGGTCATGACATAACAGGAGGCTGCAAATGGCTGCTGGTTGCCAAGCACTCAACATGTGATCATGTGACTACATTGAAACTTCAAACCCAGGCGACTGGTTAGTCCATTGTAACTTTGAACGATTGCTAAACAACCAGTTGTAACTTAAGGACTACCTGTAACTTTTAAAAACTTCTATCATACTTTTGACAGCAGATAGAGAAAAAAAAATTACTCAGAGAGCTATTGCTTCCCTTTCGCCAGATGCCTTCACACAAAGATTCTCCAAATAGTTAATAGTAGTAGAATAATAGACTATTATTCTATGTTCTACTTATCTGCCCAAGACGTTATAACTGGAATAACTGCAACCAAACCAGTTATTGCATTCCCTAACCTAAACTTGATTCTGTTCTCAGCATGGCCTGAGATTAAGAATGATTACGAATGCCTGACATTAATATTCCTTCACTTCTGGAAAGTGGTAGCCGCACTTCAATTATTTAATATGGCCTTGAAACATGGACTCTACTTCATCCCTGCTTCAATACAGAAGTGAACGACCTCATAAGGACATATTAAGAATTAATTATATTTTCCAAGAGGGGTTTTCAGATTAAGAAGGCTCATAGAAGGAGGTTCTTGCTTAAATAAAAGAGTTTTCTGTCTTAAAATTATTTTTTTTAAAACAAATAAAGTTAGAAGATCATCAGGAGCCTGGAAAGACATCAGGGATGGGCTTCAAAAATTTTAGCAAGGGGTTCTCTGCCCGATTACTGAGTGGATGTGGCCATGGTGGGCGTGGCCTAGTTGACCTCCTGCACCATGAGGGGGAGCATTTTTGCCCTCCCCGGGCTCCGGAGGCTTTCCTTGAGCTTCCGGGTGGGTGAAAATGGCCTCCTCAGGCTCCGGAGGCCCTCTGGAGGCCGAAAACAGGCCCATTTCTGGCCTTCCCGAACTTCCAGTAGGCCTGTTTTCACCCTCCCCAAGCCTCCGCGCACACACTGCATTTACCTGCATCCAAAATGGGCCGTGTGGGGACTCCTGGGAGGGGAGGGGTGGGATGGGCGGGGCCAGCCAGGGGTGGGATTTGGGGGTTCTCCGAACTGCACAGAATTTTAGCTAGAGGTTCTCCCGAACTCCTGCTTACCTGCAGCATCCCACCCCTGGAAGACATCCTGAATGGAGTGAGGGGAGGTTTAGTCATCCAGTCTCCTGTCTATTTTCATTTCACACATTCTCATAAGTTGATGGCAGGTGAAATTTGTGGACAAACTCACAGATCTATACTATGGGACTACTCTAATACACCTCTGCATCTGGTAGAATCTCTGTCAGAATCTTCTGATGTATGCCAACTGGGGTATAGTAAGCAACCCCTGATTAATCTAGAGAACTTTGAGAGTTGTTGTTGTTATTATATTTTCCCCATGTGCTTCACCCTTTAATGGTCCAGCTGTCCCTATGACACACCGTTTTGCCTAGTTAAAGGTTACACACAGGACAGTTTTGGTACTATGTAGATAACACTGGTCAAATACTTTGGCCACCTAATGAGAAGGAAGGACTCACTGGAGAAGAGCCTAATGCTGGGAATAATTGAGGGCAAAAGAAGAAGGGGACGGCAGAGAACACCTCGAGGTGGCTGGATGGAGTCACTGAAGCAGTTGGCGTGAGCTTAAATGGACTCCAGGAGATGGTAGAGGACAGGAAGGCCTGGAGGAACGTTGTCCATGGGGTTGCAATGGGTCGGACACGACTTCGTGACTAACAACAACAACAAGATAACACTGGTGGTAATAAATACTACTAACTGCTGTCAATTGCCCACATGTTTCCAAGAACCGATCCGGTTTGTCTCCATCGAATTCTGGTATCTCTAGTTAAGGCTGCATTTGGAAGGGGAATAGTTATACGGTTCCACCTGAAACAAAAGAGATGAGATTTCCGGCTTTTAAAGTTTTTGAAAAGTTGATTTTAAAATGTAAAGTCGTTCAAGCTTAAACGAAAACACAGCAATTCCAGTTCCGTCTACAAACAACATCAGGTTGTTTTTCATTGCGGGTAGTCTTCGACTTACGATCACAATTGTGCCCCTCGTTTTCCACTGCTAAGTGAGTTTTGCCCTGTTTTACAACCTTCCTTGACACAGTTGTTAAGTGAATCACTGCAGTTGTTCAGTTAGTTAACATGGCTACCGTCGTAAATACGAATCAGTTGCCAAGTGTCCGAATTTTGCTCACGTCATCAGGGGATGCTACAACAGTTGTAAGTGTGAAAAATGGTCACAAGCCGTTGTAACTTCAAACAGTCACTAAACGAACTGTTGTAAGTTGAGAACTACCTGTATTGACCTAAATTCGGTGAGAATGTTTAGTAGTGGCCAAAATTGTGGGAACCTTTTGGGAAAAGTGTATTTGTGAGGTTGGATGGCTAATAACACCACTTTTTTTTTGGAGTTTCAAGATAATCCTATTCCACTGCTGGAATGGCCTGGGAATAGCCCAGACCTTCACCCAATTGAAAATCTATGGAGCAGACTAAAGAAACTTGTTAGTCAGAAGCGACCCAGCAATAAAACCCAGTTAATAGAAGCCATCATTCAATCTTGGTTTCACATGATAACAGCTGCAGAACTAAAAGACTTGGTTCACTCCATGGGAAGATGTTGTAAGGCCATAATTCATGCTAAAGGTTACCCAACTAAGTATGAACTAACATGGTGATCATTTTTGTATATCTTGTTTTTCTATGGTGATCATTTTTGTATATCTCGTTTTTTCTACGTGTTTCACTTTTCTTCTTTATACTGTAACTGCTATTCTAATAGCAAATCCTTCATAAAAGTTATTGCATTACATTCTTGATTAAATTGTCTTTCCATTGATATATAATTTTATGGCACTACTTCAAAAAAAAGTGGTGTTATTAGCTAGTTTTAGAAAATACACTTTTCCCAAAAGGTTTCCACAATTTTGGCCACTACTGTAAATATAATGGTATAAATCCTACCGCAGTCATCTCTCAACACACAAAATTTATCACTTTTGAATAATCTTATTCCACCATATGTTTTAGATCTACCCTACTGTTGCTTTCAGTTCAGAAAGAATTTCTAGAAATACTGTATATGGTTAAAACTAGGTTTTAGTTTTGACAGATGCTTCCAAAACGAAACATTGTTCTATCAAGTCCATTTTCATCGCTAAAACCCTTGAAGATGGAAGGGCCTTTTATTAATTTTGGGAGAAGAGCATTTTTAACACCACAGCACTTATTTATAACTGCCTTGGTTTGTCAGAGAGAAGAAATTACAAGAGGTTGTTATCTTCACAGAATCACGAACGACTTAAGTTTTTCATCATGCTTCAGACAGAGTTATTTTGCACAAAAATATCCCCTCACCCACTGTAGTTTTCGGATGCGTAGACTGTGCTGTGGGGAAGATGGGATCCAGCACAGGTCTCTGGCAAACATTCGGAGTGAAGCAATGACCAAGAACGTCCATGGTTGGTGGAGAATTCCAAGCTAACACTGCCAACAAAAAGAAAGACACAAAAGAGAACAATCTGATTTCTTATCCGGATTAAATTGCAATAAATTGGTATCTGCACCAAGAATGCATAAAAGCTTTATAATCACGGCTTACTAAATAATTGATCTTCCAGATGCTTGAAATATGAAATGCCTGGGAGCGCTGAAAAGCTGAACAATTCAAGATGCACCAAAAACACGAGATGGTTGCCCACGTCAGAAAACGTTTGGCCTGGTGGATATGTTGACAATGCCTCTAAAGCCTTACTTACGCTGCAGGCACATTTGATTAAATTCTACTCAACACTGAGTATTATCATTAGCACTGATGAGAAGCCTGAGCCTTGATAGTACAGTGGTTTAGTGCACCTTGTCATTAACACAGCTGCCTGCAATTTCTGCTGGTTCGAATCTCTCCAAGGCTCAAGGTTGACTCAGCCTTCCATCCTTTCTAAGGTAGGTGAAATGAGGACCCAGTTTGTGGGGGCAATAAGCTGACTTTGTATAAAATATACAAAAGAATGAAGGCTATTGCTTAATGCACTGTAAGCCGCCCTGAGTTTCCGGAGAAGGGCGGCATATAAAACAAATTAAAAAAAAAAAAAAGCCAGACCAAGAGGAATTGAGAGGAAAGGTTGGGGTGATTCTGCCAACAATAAGTTCCTTGGAGGATTTGGTGTAGGGGTTAGAAGGCTAAATGTTTGGGTTAAATTGTTTAAGGGAGATTGATGGTAGTCTCTGAGCTTGGTTGTTTTCTTGGAAACGTTTTAGTACCAAACTAGGTAACATCATCAGTGCTAAAAGGGAATGGGATTTGTGGAAAGGAGGAGGAGGAGGAGGAGGAGGAGGAGGAAGAGGAAGACTGTGGGCTCCTCGATGCTCTCTGACCTTGGTGATTTTCTTATAGATGTTTCATTACCCAACTAGATAACATCATCAGTCCTAGAAGGGACTTGGATGTGTGGATTGGAGGAGGAAGAGGAGAAGGATGAAGAAGACTGTGAGGTCCTTTGAACCTTGGTGCTAGTGTGGCTAGAAGGGTCTGGGTTATCTAATGAAACATCTGCAAGAAAACCACCAAGCTCAGAGACCACCTCCAACCTCTCATTTCAATGGGGAGCAACAAATATTCTCCTTTATCAGTAAGCTTTATAGTTATTAAGTTCAGCGTTAGAAGGTATGAAGTTCTGTATGGATGCCTAGTCAACATAAGCATTTTTGGAAACTGAATGGGTAAGACAGACGTTGGCTAGAGGACATTGGGGAGAAGGTGGTGAGATCCTGCCTGCAGCTCTCACCAGTCAAAATTCAACTCCCGATCTTCAACGAGGCCATTTCATCCGCATGGGAGAGCTGCTTCGAAGCGTCAGAAGGACTTCACAGCATCTCTTCCCTGCCCTCCATTTTCAATCATCTTGTGCCATCTCCTGTCACGTAAAAGTGTGGGCCGGTCAAAGCAGAGTGGCAAACATATTGCCAGGAACCCTGATGGAGCAGTGGTGGGAATGCGGTATTGGAGGCTGGACTCTGCCCACAACCTGGAGTTCGATCCTGATGGGACTCAGGGTTGACTCAGCCTTCTGTCCTTCCGAAGTCAGTAAAACGAGGACCCAGATTGTTGGGGGCAAGAGGCTGACTCTAAACCGCTTAGACAGGGCTGTAAAGCACTGTGAAGCAGTATATAAATCTAAGTGCTATTCCTTCCTTCCTTCCTTCCTTCCTTCCTTCCTTCCTTCCTTCCTTCCTTCCTCCTTCCTTCCTTCCTTCCTTCCTTCCTTCCTTCCCTCCCTCCCTCCTTCCTTCCTTCCTTCCTTCCTTCTTTCCTTCTTCCCTCTCTCCTCTCCACCCTCCTCCCCCCCTTATTCCTTTTCTCATTCTCCTTCCTTGTGGCGCAGTGGTCATAATGCAGTACTGCAAGCTAATTCTTCCCACTGCCAGCAGTTCGATTCTGACCGGCTCAAGGTTGACTCAGACCCCCATCCTTCTGAGGTCGGTAAAATATGGTTGGGGACAATATGCTCTGTAAACCGCTTAGAGAGGGCTGTAAAGCACTGTGAAGTGGTGTATAAGTCTAAATGCTATTGTTATTGCTGCATACAGTACATGCTTGCATAGAAGTCGATGCTGCCTTTAGCCATCGCACAATTCCTGCCATGAGGGATTCATGAGAGATCTCCAGTTGATTTATTCTTGTGGGTTGTTCTTTTTTTTTTTTTTTTACTCAGAACAACACAGTGGTGAAATTCAATTTTTTTTTACTACAGGTTCTATGGGCGTGGCTTGGTGGGCGTGGTTTGGTGGGTGTGGCAGGAGAAGGATACTGCCAAGTCCCCATTTCCACCCCACTCAGGGACCAGCCAGAGGTGGTATTTGCCGGTTCTCCGAACTACTCAAAATTTCTGCTAGCGGTTCTCTGAACTACTCAAAATTTCTGCTACCGGTTCTCCGAACTACTCAAAATTTCCACTACCGGTTCTCCGAACTACTCAAAATTTCCGCTACCGGTTCTCCAGAACCCGTCAGAACCTGCCGGATTTCACCCCTGGAACAACACCAGCTCCTGAAATTTTTAAGAAAACATGGCCGCCCCTCATTATGAAAAATGAAAGTCAGCTACACCCATTCTAATGAAGCATGAGCCTTATTATATTCTGGGAGCTGTCCAGTAATTGGGGAAGCATTAACAGAAACTTACTCGCTTGAAAAATGTGGTGCGCGTACCCTAACGTAAGCGGCGCAATTTAATTCGAACGGCCCCCATTTAAAATGCCGCAGATGATACATTAAAACGAATTAATAATTCATTAGCTTGACACCAAATAAGCAGAAGACGACTTACCCGTCTCACAGAATCATTTATTTGGATACGGCTTCTCTTGAAGAATGCCTTTTTATGAAGTTATTCTGCGCCCGGTATTTTAAATTTGCATTAAATGGCTTAGGAGGCTTCACTGATTCCATCTGAGGTAAAAAATTGATATGGATACCTCGAGGACCCTATTCACTTCGTATATTTATGCGAGGTTTCCTACACTCCCAGTCATGAAATGACGGCGCTATTCAAAATAACGCTTTAATGGCTCAAGAAACCCGCGCTGCCAAATTGTTTTTGAAATTCAGATGAGATTGGTCGAGAGTTAGCAACTCGTAAAAAAAAAAAAAAATGAGAGAAAAAGTGGGTTTGAGGAAACAAAAAGAAAATAAACTAACGTTTCAAAAGAGATCAAAGGCTCCGTGAGGAAAGCTTCACGATCAAGCAGAAAATTATGCTGATCCGTGTATCTTAAAAGAGACTTTCGTTTAAAAAAAAAAAAGAATTATTCATATTGCAGCTTCTATTCAGCGCCGCTTACTAAAAATGGAAACACTTTAGGTCCCCATCCTGAGGTGATATTGTGCTCAGCACCAGCAGAACAAATAAATATCTATACGAAGAAGGCCCTCATTTGCATATAAATGTACAGCAGACTCGAAAGACTGACAACAATGCATGGCAGCAGCGATGAAAAAGGGGATTTTTCACCAGCCTCTTTTATCCCATAAAATTTGGAACCGCAGTTTCCAGAAGAAACTTCTTGGAATCCCCTATTTCTGGAAAAACCCGAGGGAGGAAGCTCTGCTTTCAATTTTTTAACCATTTCTTTCCCCTGTGTTTCTATTTGTTTGTTTGTTTATTAGGTGCAGAAGGCACGCAATGGCCAAAAGGTTGCCAGTGGGCCCAGTAGGCCCGTTTTTTGCCCTCCCCAGGCTCCAGAGGCTTTCTTGGGGCCTGGGGAGGTTGAAAACAGCCTTTCCCACCCACCTGGAGGCCCTACAGAGGCTGGAAAGGGCCCGTTTCCCGACTTCTGGTGGGACTGGAAGGCCTATTTTCCACTCTCTCCAGGCTCCAGAAGCTTTCTTGGAGTCTGGGGAGGGTGAAAATGGCCTTCCCCATCCCCCTGGAGGCCCTCCAGAGGCCGGAAATGACTTGTTTCCCGACTTCTGGTGGGCCCAGAAGGCCCGAAAATCAGGTGGCCGGCACATGTGCCCACAGATATGGCTCCACATGCCACCTGTGGCACGCGTGCCATAGGTTTGCCATCACGGCCCTATACCATTTGTCTGAAATATTATAAGGCAGGAGTATCAAACTCAAGGCCTGGGGGTTGGATCCGGCCAAGGGGTGCTTACATTTAGCCCGGGGGGTTGCCCTGGAAACAGCAGACCAGCCCGTGGTGTCTCTGTCAGCAAAAATGGAGATCGGGAGAGATGCAAGCGGGCCATTGTAAGCTCCACTTTTGCTGGCAAAGGGTTGCAGGAGACTGTCACAGCCGAAAAGAGAGCTCGGGAAGGTCGTGTGTGGCTCTCCTGAGCTCTGTTTTTGCTGGCAGTGGGTTGCAGGAGGCTGTTGCAGCCGAAAATGGAGTTCAGGAGCCTGTTTTACTCACTTACTTACTTTATTTGATTTATATACTGCCCTACTCCCGAAGGACTCAGGGCGGTGAACAGCCAAACAGTAAAAATACAGAGATACAAAATTTAAAAACAAAGTAAAATCAAATTAAACAATTTGTCCCAGACAGATTAAAACACCCCAATCATTTAAAAACCGATTGAAATTTGCATAATTAAAAAGAGGGAAAAGATTAGGCCAGGCCCGCCTGGCGGAATAAAAAGGTTTTAAGAGCGCGGCGGAAGGTGCGCAGATCTGGGATCCTCCGTATCTCCGGGGGGGAGCTCGTTCCAGATAGTAGGTGCCCCCACAGAGAAGGCTCTCCCCCTAGGGGCCACCAGTTGACATTGTCTGGCCGACGGCATCCGGAGGAGCCCCTCTCTATGAGAGCGTACCGGCCGGTGGGAGGCTATTTGTGGTAGTAGGCGGTCCCGTAGGTAACCAGGTCCTAAGCCATGGAGCGCTCTAAAGGTGGTAACCAAAACCTTGAAGCGCACCCGGAAGACCACCAGGAGCCAGTGCAGCTCGCGCAGGAGAGGTGTTACATGGGAACGCCATATCGCTCCCATTACCACCTGCGCGGCCGCACTCTGTGCCAGTTGGAGCCTCCGGGTGTTCCTCAAGGGGAGCCCCATGTAGAGAGCATTACAATAGTCCAGGCAGGAGGTGACGAGGGCATGAGTGACCGTGCGTAGGGAGTCCCGATCCAGAAAGGGACGCAACTGGCAAATCAGGTGAACCTGATGAAAAATCCTCCCGGTCATGGCCATCAAATGCTCTCCCCGGCTTGGTCCACCACAGGTCCCTCTGACATGAGTGATGTCAAGCAGGCCATGCCCACCCAGGCCCCCTGAGGTCAAACACAACCCTGATGCGGCCCTCAATGAAATCGGGTTTGACACTCCTGGTGTAAGGTCTGCTGCTTGGATGTGGGGTTCGACTGGAGGACCTCTGGCGTCCCTTCCAACTCTATTATTCTGTTTTGTTATTCTAAAGTTATATTTTTTTTACAACCATGTGTAATAATCCCATCAAGCCCAAAGAAAGTCCAGAATGGTATAGGATCTCCTGCCATGGGCAGAGGATTGGACTAAAAGACTTCCAAGGTCTATGTGTCTGGCATAAATTGAAACATTTAGTTGACCAGAAGATTTAGTTGACCAAACTGAGATAATCTATTTCAACACGAATGGGATTTGTGGTCTCTTACGCAACTACATAATGCTAATAGAAGAGATTTTTTGTAGCTCAGGGTTGAACTGAGAAGTCCTTTTGTGCTCTCTGAGCTTGATGGTTTTCTTGGAGACGTTTCATTACCATACTAGGTAACAGCATCGGTGCTACAGGGAGTGGGGTGTGTGGATTGGAGTAGGAGTAGGAGAGCCTCTCTTATTGTTCTAGGACAGAACCAGCTACCAGTGCTATAATCTAACAATAGGATGGAAGCTAATTACGTGCGGAAGGACCTTTTTCAAAATTCAGGGACCCAGAAGAGTTTACTAGTATAACATGTACACTGTCTCTTCCCTAATTCCTGGGACAGGGAGGGCTATATAGTTAGTCCTCGACTTATAACCACCATTGAGCCCATGTTGCTAAGCGAGACATTGGTTAAGTGAGTTTTGCCCCATTTTTCGACCTTTCTTGCCACAGTTGTTACGTCAATCACTGCCGTTGTTAAGTTAGTAACCTGGTTGTTAAGTGAATCTGGCTTCCCCGTTGACTTGGCTTGTCAGAAGTGTACAAAAAGGGATCACGGGACACTGCAGCCGTCATAAATATGAGTCAGTTGCCAAGCGTCTGAATTTTGATCACGTGACCACGGGGAATGTTGCAACGGTTGTAAGTCTGAAGCATGGTCATAAGTCACTTTTTCCAGGGCCGTTGTAACTTCGAACGGTCACTAAATGAAGTGTTGTAAGTGGAGGACTACCAGCACAAATTAAAGAACCAATTATATTTTAACTCTGCACTACTATTAATCTTCTCATCGTTCCCACCACCCATCTCCTTCCACTTATGACTGTATGACTGTAACTTTGTTGCTTGGATCCTTACGATTTATATTGATATTATTTCCTGATTGCTTATTTCTACCCTATGACTATCATTAAGTGTTGTACCTTATGATTCTTGAGGAACATATCTTTTCCTTTATGGAGAGCGTATGCACCAAAGACAAATTCCTTGTGTGTCCAATCACACTTGGCCAATAAAAATAAATAAATTGAAATTTACCTGTTGCCGGGTTGATGGGTTCCACAGCCCAAGTTAATGGAAAACTGGATCATATGTGTAACTGTAGAAGGAAGGACTGGCAGGACATGGAAGTAATCGATAGCCCAGATATTTCTGTCACGTCCTTGGTGGCTCTTTTGCTTGAGGCAGAATTTGGTTGCCGGAGTTTGAAGTTCTGGACTGATGACAACGGAGACCAAAGAGGGACTCTTAGATAGAAACAACAAAAAACAGACAATTGCGGTTAATTTAAACAGTTTCAGTTTAAATGTAGTTCCTTCAAACCCTAAGACTATCTGTTTCAATTTAGCTCCTTCAAACCCTAAGACCCTTAATTTGAATGTAGCGCCTTCAAACCTAAGACCCTCAGTTTAAATGTAGTTCCTTCAAACCCCAAGACCCTCAGTTTAAATGTAGCTCCTTCAAACCCCAAGACCCTCAGTTTAAATTTAGCTCCTTCAAACCGCTAAGACCCTCCGTTTAAATTTAGCTCCTTCAAACCCTAAGACCCTCAGTTTAAATGTAGTTCCTTCAAACCCCAAGACCCTCAGTTTAAATTTAGCTCCTTCAAACCCTAAGACCCTCAGTTTAAATGTAGCTCCTTCAAACCCCAAGACCTTCAGTTTAAATATAGTTCCTTCAAACCCTAAGACTATCTGTTTCAATTTAGCTCCTTCAAACCCTAAGACCCTCAGTTTAAATATAGTTCCTTCAAACCCTAAGACCCTTAATTTAAATGTAGCTCCTTCAAACCCCAAGACCCTCAGTTTAAATTTAGCTCCTTCAAACCCTAAGACCCTCAGTTTAAATGTAGCTCCTTCAAACCCCAAGACCTTCAGTTTAAATATAGTTCCTTCAAACCCTAAGACTATCTGTTTCAATTTAGCTCCTTCAAACCCCAAGACCCTCAGTTTAAATATAGTTCCTTCAAACCCTAAGACTATCTGTTTCAATTTAGCTCCTTCAAACCCTAAGACCCTTAATTTAAATTTAGCTCCTTCAAACCCTAAGACCCTTAATTTAAATGTAGTTCCTTCAAACCCCAAGACCCTCAGTTTAAATATAGTTCCTTCAAACCCTAAGACCCTTAATTTAAATGTAGTTCCTTCAAACCCCAAGACCCTCAGTTTAAATTTAGCTCCTTCAAACCCTAAGACCCTCAGTTTAAATGTAGCTCCTTCAAACCCCAAGACCTTCAGTTTAAATATAGTTCCTTCAAACCCTAAGACCCTTAATTTAAATGTAGTTCCTTCAAACCCCAAGACCTTCAGTTTAAATATAGTTCCTTCAAACCCTAAGACTATCTGTTTCAATTTAGCTCCTTCAAACCCTAAGACCCTTAATTTAAATTTAGCTCCTTCAAACCCTAAGACCCTTAATTTAAATGTAGTTCCTTCAAACCCCAAGACCCTCAGTTTAAATATAGTCCTTCAAACCCTAAGACTATCTGTTTCAATTTAGCTCCTTCAACCCTAAGACCCTTAATTTAATTTAGCTCCTTCAAACCCTAAGACCCTTAATTTAAATGTAGTTCCTTCAAACCCCAAGACCTTCAGTTAAATATAGTTCCTTCAAACCCTAAGACTATCTGTTTCAATTTAGCTCCTTCAAACCCTAAGACCCTTAATTTAAATTTAGCTCCTTCAAACCCTAAGACCCTTAATTTAAATGTAGTTCCTTCAAACCCCAAGACCCTCAGTTTAAATATAGTTCCTTCAAACCCTAAGACTATCTGTTTCAATTTAGCTCCTTCAAACCCTAAGACCCTTAATTTAAATTTAGCTCCTTCAAACCCTAAGACCCTTAATTTAATGTAGTTCCTTCAAACCCCAAGACCCTCAGTTTAAATATAGTTCCTTCAAACCCTAAGACTATCTGTTTCAATTTAGCTCCTTCAAACCCTAAGACCCTTAATTTAAATTTAGCTCCTTCAAACCCTAAGACCCTGTTTAAATGTAGTTCCTTCAAACCCCAAGACCCTCAGTTTAAATATAGTTCCTTCAAGCCCTAGGATCCTCAGTTTAAATTTAAATGTAATTTATTTAATTAAATTTAAATTTAATTCCTTCAAACTCACATCCTTAGATGCTACATTTTCCTTTCATGAACGGGTCAGATTTTTTTCTGTATCCCATCATCAACCTTTAAAAGTGACCCACACTGCCTAAAAGAATTTCAGAAAGTGGCATTAGCAGATATTTCTCTCTTTACAAATTGGAGTCAGGCTGTTGTAATCAATTTAATGCTCTTTTCAGGATACATGTTGAATACTTACCCTGTGGGAAGCGTAGCTCATTACATCAAGAGTTATGTGATCTTTTCTTCCTTCAATTTTTGCGTATAATAGGACATCATTTTCATGAGCTTCTCCAGTGTCACAGCTCCCTCCTGAAATAAGATGCAAGATGCATTAACTTTCTTTCTACTTTAATAGTGACAATGACTGTTTTTGGTTTATTAAGGTAACGTGGGCCAATATAGGGGAAATAATTCTAACTGAATATTCAACTTTCATTCTAATGCAAGTGGAACAATAATATGCATAATAAAATGGCTTGTATGTATAGTAGATTTCTTACCAATTTCCCTGTTGTTAAAAATGACCTTCCCCCCATCCCCGAATTATTCTTTACCTTAAGGCAGGAGTGTCAAACTCAAGTCCCGGGGGCCGGATCTGGCTCATGGGGTGCTTAGATCTGGCCTGTGGGACCACCCTGGAAACAGTGAATGACTGCCCTGCAGTGCCTCTGACAGCGAAAACAGAGCTCCGTTTTCTTCCGAGCTCCGTTTTCGCTGGCAGAAGGTTGCAGGAGGCTGTCGCAGCCGAAAACGGAACTTGCGAGGGCCATGTGCGGCGCTCCCGAGCTCCGTTTTCACTGGCAGAGGGTTATAGGAGGCCGTCACAGCTGAAAACGGAGCTCTCGAGCCCATTTTCACTGTGCTCAGGCCCCCACAAGCGCCCCCGACACGAGTGACGACGAGCTGGCCACTCCTACAACATAGATATGACATAGATATGACATCACTGGTTCCAAACATCTTCTGTCACTTTACAATAATATTAGCACTCATATAAACATATAGTTCTTAAACTTTGTTCATTATTTAAACATAATATATTAATACTTTTTCCCTTATTTCTGTATATTTATTTATTAGTTCAATTTATTTATTAGTTCAATTTATATGCCACCTTTCTCCGGAGACTTAGGCTGGCTTTAATGCATTTAAAAAAAAAAACATTATAAAAACATTTAAAAATTAAAACATTAAAACTCATTCACATGGCCAGATCTCGCCAGATTGTAAAGCGAAATCAACGGCCCCAGGCCTGCCGGAAAAGCCAGGTCTTCACCGCTTTTCGGAAGGCCAATAGAGTGGGGGTGGTCCGGACCTCAGGAAGTAACTGGTTCCAGAGAGCTGGGGCAGCCACAGAGAAGGCCCTCCCCTGCGGGCCCGCCAGCCGGCATTGTTTAGCTGACGGGACCCAGAGGAGACCAACTCTGTGGGATCTTACCGGTCGCTGGGAGCTATGCGGCAGAAGGCGGTCTCGAAGATAACCTGGTCCTGAGCCATGTAGGGCTTTAAAGGTAATAACCAACACCTTGAATTGTGCCCGGAGACCAATAGGGAGCCAATGCAGCTCGCGGATAATTGGTGTAATGTGGGTGCACCTAGGTGCACCCACGATAGCTCGTGCGGCTGCATTCTGGACCAACTGTAGTCTCCGAACACTTTTCAAAGGTAGCCCCATGTAGAGCGCATTGCAATAATCTAACCATGAGGTGACAAGGGCATGAGTGACTGTGAGGAGAGCCTCCCGATCCAAGTAGGGTCGCAATTGGTGCACCAGGTGAACTTGTGCAAAGGTCCCCCTAGCCACAGCTGTCAGATGTTCATCTCTTAAACATACATTTATCTATAATAACATCTATATTTTTGTTCTAACACTATACATTTGTCTTGGCTACCCTCTTGTTATCTATCCAATCATAAAATTGTTCCCAGATTTTATAGTACTTAGTTTCGCTTTTATCCTTGAGTTCCAAAGTCCATTTCTACGCAGTTAAAGATTTTCAGTAATATTTCCTCTTCAGTTGGAATATCTTTCTCTTTCCATTTTTGAGCGAAGGCTATTCGTGCCGCTGTGCGTACATGCAGTAATAAATAATTTGTACCTTTCTTATATTTTCTTTCTATTATTCCCAGTAAGAAAAATTCCAGTTTGACTTCTATATTAGTTGACAAAATTTCTTCCAGCCAGTTCTTTAATAAATTCCAAAACTTTTGCACCTTTGGGCATTCCCCCCACATGTAACACCATTCATCTTGATAACCTCATTCAATGCATGCTCAGAAGTTCCCCCCTCCCCACATAATAGAGATTTATATTTGCATTTTTTCACGGCATAATGCTAATGAAACTAAACTAATGCTAGTTGAACACTTGCATTTTAAACATCAAATTAAAATCTATTATTTTCTCTCTCTTTTTTTTTAAAGCAACATTTGAATATTCCACCAACTCATTTTCACACAATCGGTGTTTTCAGTGAGATCATCCAAGCTGTGCTGAGCTAACAGCTTTTTTCTCGGAGTTCAAAAGGTTGACAAAAGTGTCTTTCCTGTTTTCCGTCAGGTGTGGCCTTCCTGGATACAAAACAGACTCCGTTTCCTGCTGCACTCTTGGTCCATCAGACGTTACAAACGGGATTTGACAATTGAGACGGAAGATCAGAGAATCCCCTTCCAGTAAGAAAACGGTGTTTTTGTATCTTGTTGACAGAAAAAAAACCAGTTTCACAAGGGAAAACAGATCCGTTCTGTTTCCTTTCTCGTTCTTTCCATTTTGCATTAATGGACGTAGTGTTGAAAGGATGAGTTTTCCCCATATAGTTTAGCCCGATTTGCGGACGTTGCAGAATAATATTTGGGGAGCGGAAAGTGAGGAAGGAAGATTAGGAAAAACAGCTGCATTGGATTGCGAAATTTAAATTTGCCTGTTGGTCTCAACCTTAGTTCCAATCATGAAAAGTTTCATGAAAAGTCAGTAATGGCATGTCCCAAAGGTGCTTTTTCAGGAGGCAACTGGACTTTCTTGTTTTTTTCTTTTGAAGATGTTTCGCTTCTCATCCAAGAAGCTTCTTGTTCTACCCCAGTTACGGACCCCAAAGAACACAGCATACACAAAGTTTGTACAAAACTTAATTTACGAAAATAACTCAGTCTTTTTCAAAACAAAGGTTGTTAATAAACTTCCTTAACAGCCTACAAGAAACCAAAGATAAAGTAATCACAATCTTACTAAGGTTGGCAGAAAGCCCAGAAGCAATTTGCAGAGAATCCAGATGCAAAGTAGAGTGAACTAAAGTTGTTCCCTATAAATTACTTCAGTCGGCGTTCCTCCTTAAATAGGCAAAGGGAGTGGCCAATTAGCCCCAAGCCTTACTCTTGAGGAGACCCCCTCTTGAGGAGTCACTCCTGCCTTTTGGCAGCTCTTCGCGCCCGTGCATTGAGAAGAGGCTCCTCCTCTTCGTCCTCTTCACTTAAAGAAGCTTCTGGAGGTTCTGAAGGCCCTGGCTGAATCCCTGCCTCTGGCACCACATCTTCTCCAGCCTTCTCATTGTCTGACTTGAGTGCCAGCTGCACAAGCTGCTGGCGCAACACCACACCAGCCTCCTCGCTGTCAGAATCAGCTACAATCCGCAGAGGCCGCTGACGGGCCACAACATTTCTTCAGTTCTGACTGGATGGTGGGGAATGGAAGGATTTATATGTTATGGTCCGCCAGCAGCCTGCGGAGCTGGCAGCAGAGTCGGACAGTGAGGAGGTTGGGGAGGAACATGGGCCAGTCCTGGAGACTGGGGAAGGCTCAGATGCAGGCTCTGCATCGGAGGCAGAGAAAGGGCCATCTGGGAGTTACGTGCCCTCTTCAGAGCCTCCAGAGTCGGACATCAGCGAGGCAGAGGAATAGGAGGAGCCTGTTCCCAGTGCGCGCATGCGCAGAGCTGAACAGAAGGCAAGAACAGTTAAGACAAAAGGGACGACTCAGGAGTAAGGCTTGGAGATGATTGGCCCCTCCCATAAGACAAAGGAGGAGCAAAGGCATGTGAGCCTTTGCAGGAAGCAACTTTGTTCGTTCTGGTCGGTTTAAATTCTGAAGCTCCATTTTTTGTCTCTGTGCTCCGTGTGGCCTTGCAAAGCTAATTGCCAATTAGGTCTTTGGCAGCGTGTCAAGGGAGATAAAGGTGGGTGCTTATCAGCCTTATCCCGAAGGACTGTGGCAGACTTCTGTCGGACTCTTTACAAACTATTTGCGATTCATTATGGGCTGTGAATGAACAGAATTCACAGCCGTTGAAATAAAAAGAGGGTTTTTTGGGACTAATCATGTGCTTTTTACTGTCTCAGGGAGCCTAGGTTAGAACATTATATTCCTTGCAGAGAGCTGGTCATTTGCATCCTTTTAGAGAGTTGATGAGGCCACTTGGAGGTTTAATCTGTGTCCTCAGGGTCACCTGAGTGGTGCTAATGGTTCTGGAGCTTGGCTGCAGGTTGTTTTTCTGCCCTGTGTCCCTTCACTGCTGAACGCAGGAGCAGGTGGTTGGGGATGAGTCTGTGTTGTCTCCATCTCAAACTGAAGTGCAAATGGTTCTTGTCGTCTGCAATTTTTAGGGAAATCTGTTTATACTCCCACACCCATTTGCACTACTCACATGACCCTCAGGACACAGATAAACCTCCAAGTGGCCTCAACAGCTCTCTAAAAGGACGCAAAGGACCAGCTGTCTGCAAGGAGTATCAATCCTTCCCTTCCCCACCGTCCAGGCAGAGCTGAAGAAGCTTCTTGGATGAGAAGTGAAATGTCTTCAGAGAAAAAAGGTGGGGGGGCATGTGACTGAGTGGGCGTGGCCAACTTGACTTCACTCACGCCCACGCAGTCACATGACACCCCCCTCACCTAGCAACGCCCACAGTAAAAGGTAGGAATTTTTTTGGAATTTCCACCTATCTACCCCCGCCCTCCCTTTGCCAGTCACCCCCTTTTCTCTTCCTTTAGCAGCCCTGGCCCTAGCCCCACTTCCTCCCCCACCACCGCCTCTTTGTTCGGGCTGCTTACCTTCTGTGGCAGCTGGTCCAGAGTCCGGAAGGCAAGCTGACCAGAGTTTTTGGTGGCCCCCAGCCAGCCGCCGCTGCTGGAAAACAGCTGGCAGAGAAGCCTCTTTGAGAGCTGTTTTGCAGCTGCCGCAGCTGGCCACAGGCTTCCAAAAAGTACCAGAGGTTGCGGAAAAAGCTGCTGCCATCGCCACCATGTTCTTCGTGCATGCGCATCCCATTGGACTTGCAAGGCAATGGGATGCATGTGTGCAAAGAACATGGCGGGCGGGGCGAGCGAGCGGTGACTGTGGGGACCGGTTCGGGAGCGTGGCCAGCTGGCCATCACTACTAGTTCGGTGACCTTGGCCAAATTTCCACCAATGGTTCGTGCGAACCGGTGCAAACCGGCTGAATACCACCTCTGGAAAGATAACTGTTTCAGGTGTCTCGGAGTATAGTCATGTTGGTCACATGACCAGAGAAAGGTCTTCGGGCAATGCTGGCTCCCTCAGCTAAGAAATGGAGATTTATTTATATATTTATTTATTAGTCCAATCTATATGCCGCCCTTCTCCGCAGACTCAGGGCGGCTTACAATGCATTATAGCAATAGCCTGCATACTTTTTTGTATATACCTGCTTATTAGGGCTTTCGGCCTCCCCCTAAGCGGTGTTGTTCTATACAAAGTTGGCTTATTTTCCCCACAATATGGGTCCTCAATTTACCTACCTCGAAAGGATGGAAGGCTGAGTCAACCTTGAGCCTGGTGAGATTCGAACTTGCGCTAATTCCAGGCAGCTGGCAGCTAAATGCTAGCACTTAACAGCACTTTAGTCTGCTGCACCACCGAGGCTCACCGAGGTGAGCACTACCTACTCTAGAGCAGGGCTGTCAAACTCCCGGCCCCACGGGCTGGATGCGTCAAACGCTGGCCATGCCCACGCCCGGTTTAGTGAAGGGGGAAAAAGTCCCGATACGTCACATTATGCTCCCATGATGACGTGAGTTTGACCCTGTACTAGAATCAGAAATGACCGGACAGGGAAAACATTTGTACCTTTTACCCCTTTTAGGTTCCAGAAACAAGTGGGAGATCAACTCATTTGAACATACTCTCCTCCACTGTAGGAAAATTTGAAATAGTGCGTATATAACCAAGAAAGATTAATGGCGTGTACTCACCCATGCTGAAATAAAACCTCAGATTTCCATAACCTGTCATGTCCATGTATGGAGTGCATAGTTTTCTCTCGCCTTCTCTGAGGAACACGGCGGATGAACCCGATTCCAAGGTCCCACATTCGTTGCTGATGATTGCTCCAGATATATCCCACCTAAAGACATTCGAGACATAAGGATCGGTTCATTTCTGGACTCAGTTCAAAAACACTAGGTTTTTTTTTTACCTTTACAGTCTTAAAAATCATGAGACGGGATATTAAGGAAGGGTTATTATCGACCAAGGGGACATGGTGGCTCAGTGGCTAAGATGCTGAGCTTGTCGATCGAAAGGTTGGCAGTTCAGCAGTTCGAATCCCTAGTGCCACGTAACGGGGTGAGCTCCTGTGACTTGTCCCAGCTTCTGCCAACCTAGCAGCTTGAAAGCAGGTAAAAAATGCAAGTAGAAAAATAGGGACCACCTTTGGTGGGAAGGTAGCAGCGTTCTGTGCACCTTTGGCGTTTAGTCATGCCAGCCACATGACCACGGAGACGTCTTCAGACAGCGCTGGCTCTCCGGCTTTGAAACGGAGATGAGCACTGCCCACTAGAGTCAGGAACGACTAGCACATATTTGCGAGGGAAACCTTTACCTTTACCTTACTATCAACCAAATGAATTTTTCCTCTATTCAAGGGAGAAAACCCTGATGTTTTCACCACTACCACAAGAAGGTTAAACTAAATTAAATTAAATTAAGGCAATAGAAGAAATTGTGAATGGTGAACAGTTATCGAATCTGTAAAGCATTAGTATAATACTTAAATACTTACAATACTATAAAGTATTTATAAAGCCTTGGTAAGGCTACACTTGGAATATTGCATCCAATTTTGGCCATCATATTATAAAAAAAGATGTAGAGATTCTGGTGCAGAAAAGAGCAACAAAGATGATTAAGAGATGTTTGGAGGCTAAAACATATGAAGAATGGTTGCAGGAATTGGGTAGGCCTTGTCTAGTGAAAAGAAAAGACCAGGGGAGACAGGAGAGCAGTCTTCCAATATTTGAGGGGCTGCCACAGAGAGGAGGGAGGTCAAGCTATTTTCCAAAGCACCCGAAGGCCAGACAAGGAATAATGGCTAGAAACTGACCAAGGAGAGATTCAATCTGGAAATGAGGAGGAACTTTCTGACAGTGAGAACAATCAACCCATGAAACAGAAGTTGCCTTCGGACATTGTGGGAGCTTCATCACTGGAGGCTTTCAAGAAGAGACTGGACTGCCATCTGTCAGAAATGGTGTAGGGTCTCCTGCTTGGGCAGGGGGTTGGACTAGAAGACCTCCAGGGTCCCTTCCGACTCTGTTCATCTGTATATCTGTTTTTGCTTGTGACATCCAATCATATACTTGTAGACTTCCTTAAAGGCTCATTGACTGCACCGTTCTTCGTCTTATAAAGGCAGCTGATTTGCAGATAGGGTGAAAACGGGCCAAATTAAGTTCTTAAAGGCAGGATTTATAATGTTTCTATTAGTATGCATGGATTCCATAAAGGAAATGTGTCGAAATGAGCTTAGAAAATCAGGATGGCTGCTTTATTGGGATATCTCCCAGGAAATCCATTTAGCCTAATGTTGACTGGCAATTAGAACTGTTTAATTGGAACAGATGTCCCATCACTTCTAACCGTTAGAGATGCCACTCTGCAATTTAAAATGGTGAAATGATCCCCATGTTTATCGCCATGCTCAATAAGTGGTAAATTTCTAACTAACCCTCAAAAACTTTGGGCGGATCTGAAAGTTCGCAAGACTAAGCCTTAAGTAGCATTTACACATTTAAAAACAATACAGCAAGGGTGTCAAACTCGATTTCATTCAGGGCCACATCAGGGTTGTGTTTGACCTCAGGGGGCTGGGGGTGGGTGGGAATGGAGTGGGGTGGGAATGGAGATTTTGCAGTATCCTTCCCCTGCCACGTCCACCAAGCCATGCCCACAGAACCGGAAGTAAAAAAAAAATTGGATTTCACCACTGCTTTAGATGTCTTGACTCACCTCCATAATTCAACAATCATGGGTCCTTTTTTTATAGCAATGATTGATTTGGGGCTAAAAAAATGACATTCCTAGAATCTGATCACTTCATTCCTTCATTCCTAGCTTAACCACATTTTCCTCTTCCTGTTGATCTGACTTCTTACACAATTATACACTTTTTCCTTTTTTTTTTTTTTTGCCAGTGCTCTGGCAAAAATTATGTGGCCAATTTTAGCCCCGTTAGGCATTGCATAGAAGGGCCATTCAGACAGCGAGATACATGATTTAAAATAAATTTAACTTGGGGTTGAATTTATTTTAAATCATGTATCTCACTCTCTGATGATCGTCCAAGATATTAGGGGATTAAAAGATATGAAGAGCAATTGCAGGATTTGGGTATGTCTAGTCTAGTGAAAAGAAGGACTAGGGGTGACATAATAACAGTGTTCCAATATTTGAGGGGCTGCCACAAAGAAGAGGGAGTCAAGCTATTCTCCAAGGCACCTGAATGCAGGACAAAAAGCAATGGATGGAAACTAATCAAGGAGAGAAGCCACCTAAAACTAAGGAGAAATTTCCTGACAGTGAGAACAATAAATCAGTGGAACAGAAGTTGCCTTCAGAAGTTGTAGATGCTCCATCACTGGAGGCTTTCAAGAAGAGACTGGACAGCCATTTGTCTGAAATGGTTTAGTATCTAGTGCTTGAGCAGGGGATTGGAGTAGAAGATCTCCATCATCAGCATCCATTCTTTTTGTCTGGCAGTTAGTGTTCTGTCCCCCTTCCCCACACAGGCAAACACACAACCAGGCATGCCTGCCAAGATTTTATGAAGCAATCAGACTTGCAGGTAAGAGTTTTGGCAGTAAACTGCGAAATGCCTGCCAAGTCAGTTTTCACTCACAGTAAGCAAGAGAGAGTTTATCCTCAGTCCGGTCCAGTAGCAAAAAGTAATCCACGAAGCAAGAGTTCGCCAAGGTCCAATCCAAATATGCACAAGCCAGATTTCAGGTAACGCGATGTGACTTTCAGGTTTTTAATTTTGACCGTCACAAAGCCTGAAGAGCAATCACACCCACTTTTATTCCTTGTGGGGTGTGGCTCAGTGACTCAGCTCAATCTCTGGCCCTCCCACGCCTCTTTCGTTGTTGCGTACGCTTCTCCCTACGACGCTGCCTGGGATCAAGCCAGGATTCATCATCCTCGCTACCTATCTGTTGTTGTTCCGATATGCTTTCCTCCTGGCATATTCCAGGCTGTTCCTCTTGGCCTTCGGATGGAACCTGAGGCATTGCCAGAGAGGAGGGTCCTGGAGAGGGGGGGCCTTGTCAGTTCCTCCCCATTACCTTCTGAGTCCTCTTCCTTTGTTAGGACAGGCTCGAGAGTCGGGGTCACAACAGTTAGATTCAGGAACCGTATGCTTAAAATGGGCTTTTGCAAAGAATTCATCAAGAGCAGATGCAGAATTGCATCTCGGCCTGGACGAAGTCCTCCTGCGAACTGACACAGCATGTTCGGCTGTGCATTTTTCTTAACCGTCTGGCTGTCGCAGCATGAAATGAATTGGAGATTTCACCGAACAATTCCATCATTACTAATACGGCAGTTCAGAACCCAGACTACAGGAGTCAGCGATCAAGTCAAAAAGATCATTCTTCAAAGGCGGATGGCGTGCGTAATGGAAAGATTAATTCAGAAGTTTTGTCCAGGAAATTCTTTGTTCACTGACAACTCCTGAAAGTATCAGTGTAATATTTTATTTTTATTTTTTTTGGTCTTTGGGACCGAAAGCCAGTAGAAAGGTTGACTGTTTGGGCATATAATGCCACATTTTAAAGGCTCACGATTCCCTGCGGATGTGGAGTGATGGTAAATTTGTAATAGTTAAGGAGAAAGGCAGCCCAAGGAGACTGTAAATTTGGACCAGTGGTGGGAATCAAATAATTTAACAACCGGTTCTCTGCCCTAATGTCCAGCTGGGTGGGCGTGGCTATGGTGGGCGTGGCCAGGGGATGTGACAGGCAGTACTCGGCCTCCTGCACCCCCCTGGGAACAAAAGTGGGCCGCAGGGAGGGAATGAGCTGCCCCCGTGCCTCGTTTTGGGCCTAGTAGGCCTCTCTGCAGCCTCCTGGGAGTGAAAACGGGCCACGGGTGGCGCACTGCACTGCCCGTACCCTGTTTTGGGCCTAGTAGGCCTCTCTGCACTTACCTGGGAGCCAAAATGGGGCGCATGTGGATTCCTGGAAGGGGAGGGGCCAGCCAGCAATTTAACTACCGGTTCACCCGAACTGGCCCGAACCGGCTGAATCCCACTACTGATTTGGACCAGATAACACAGCAGCAATGACATTCTAAAAATTGAGGCTCTTGAGGGACAGAGACACTGTAGGCTAAACTGAATGTATAATGTTTCAGCTCAAGAACGCAATTCCTGGATATAAATTTTGAGACTCTTCTTCAGCTCTATGGGTTTGAAGGAAAGCACCTTAGGTGCACTACATCTAAAAGTTTAAATGGATGAAAACTCTGAACCATAGGATCTGATTTCAGATCAGACTGAAAAAAAAAAAATCAGATATGGACACAATTATTTCTAATTTATATATTTATAAATTTATTTCTGATTCCTCCCCCCCTCCCCCCACCGATCCGTAAATCCTAGGGAATGGATTGGCAGCCAGATACAAAGACTGTGTAAATTTGATCTCGGATGTCTACATCCACTAAATTGTAAGGTTCTTTTTGATGTTCTGACTTTAATCACTCCAAAAGAGATGGTGATTAGAGGATGGATGGATGGATGGATGGATGGATGGATGGATGGATGGATGATAGATAGATAGAAGATAGATAGAAGATAGATAGATGATAAATAGAAGATAGATGATAGATAGATAGAAGATAGATAGATGATAGGTAAGTAGGTAGGTAGCTAGGTAGGTAGATAGATATGTGATAGTTATGTGATAGATAAAAGACAGACAGACAGACAGACAGACAGATAGATAGATGATAGAAGATAGAAAGATAGCTAGCTAGCTAGCTAGATGATAGATAGCTAGAAGATAGCTAGAAATAGATAGATGATAGCTAGATGATAGATGGATGGATGGATGGATGGATAGATAGATA